ACTTAAGCTGGCAGCACACTTCACCATTTTCATTTCTCATACAGGCAATTTTCGTGGTCGGCAATTTTTGTGGCCTTTGCCGCGTCACAGCACACGCCACCGTGGTGACAGGTGTGCTGTTGACGGCAATTTTTGTTCACTGCGATTTCTTGCCACAGGTAGCCTATCATGCTACCAAATACCAGACAATTATTAATAGTAGGTAGATGAATCAATCTAGGCCTACTAACTTCTAAAACAACTTAAAATATTCAATTTTTTTATTGATAATTAAATTTATTAACAAAATAAATACCAGTATAAAATATTTGAAACTCAACATGATGCACATGTAACAAGTTACAGTAGAACCCCACTTAATGGACACCCTGTTTTAAGCTGGGCACCTCTCCATCATGTCTATTAATGTTAAGTCCAATAATAGAGGTGTTCTACTGTATAACATTTTGAAATCATGTGACGGCAGCAATTTTGATTGGTCTGCGAGTGATTTTGTTGCCGATTGTCGTGGTGGCTTGGCGCACACTTCAGCACAAGTTGCCACCACGAGCAATTTTCGTGGTGAGAAATCAAACGGGTTTGATTCTCGGCAACTCGTGGTCACCACTAAATTTCCGTGGTGAGTGGTCGTTGCCGGCCCCCGCACACTTGGCAATGGGGTTAGCCGCTAGAAACAGTTGCCGCTGGGGGGCAGCACATATGCAGAGGTAAAGATTATCCGCGTACCCATATGCACACTCGGGATAGAGTGGAGGAAGTGGGTGTTTATTCTTTTGTGTGTGCTGAGGAGAATATGTAATAATGTTATTGAGATTCACGTGAATTAAGTGGTGCATATGTGACATGTGTATATTCTTTTGCGTTGCTGAACGAGTTATGTAGTTTTATATGTTTATTGAGATTCATTATGTAGTAGATACATTGTATGAACATGCAAAAGAGCCCCTACTGTCGTACATCGCACCTATATTCGCGCTGACAATATATATGCATGCGTGGTGTCACCGTCCACGCTGTGCACGTACAATGGCGTGCTGCTTGCGTGTGTGCGTGCGGCGTGCGTGCGTGTGGTCATTACATTACCTGCAATCGGCGTGTGGTGTGCAACGTCCAACGTGTGCTGCGTGTGACACGTACAGTGCGTGCTGCGTGCGTTGCACGCGTACCCGTGCGTGCATGCGTACGTGTGTGCTGCCCGTGCGTGCTGTATGCACGTACAGGTGCGTGCATGCGTGCGTTACGTACGTGCGTGCGTGCGTTCACGTACACATGCCGTGCATGCGTGCGTGCGTTGCACTAGCACTATGTGCGTGCGTGGCGTGTGTACGTACACCATGCTGCGTGCGTGTAAACGTTCACGTGTGTGCGTGCGTGTGCGTGTGGTCATACATGTACGTTGCATGCGTGCTGTGTTGCGTGCGTGTGCAGGTAACACGTGTGTGTGTGGCGTGCCGTGCGTGTGCCACGTCCACTGTATGGGTGCGTGCGTGTGTGCGCTGCATGCGTACGTGTGTCTGCTCCATATGTGAAGTGGGTGTTATTCTTTTGTGTGTGCCTGAGGAGTTATGTAATATGTTATTGAGATTTCAACTGTGATATTAGCTGGCTGCAATGTTAAAGTGGGTGTTATCTTATGTGTGTGCTCAGGAGTTATGTAATATGTTTATTGAATTAGTAAAAGCTTACTAAATGACATCAAGTGCAATACAAGATTATGAAGATCTTTATTTCTAAAACGCAGCCATTTACTATAAAAAACAAAAAAAAAACATCTAGGCATTACTGCTGACCATAGCTCGCCTAAAATTTGGAAATCCACATAAAGCCACCTTTACAATTCTTCAAACCGAGAGAAATCTCTATGGGGCAGGTCCTCTTTTAATATTTTATAGTGTCTTGCTTTAGACCAAGAGCCTCTCTACATGAATCCCTCTATGACGCCGATATCCGTCCTATACCTAACAACTGTCTTACTGCATTAAAAGTTGGGATATTTCCTTTGAGCAATTGACGCGTGTTACACATGCACGTCTTTTACTAAGCAAACCCAGATCCTGAACCATAATTCCCTAAGACATGATGCCTGTCAGCCCGCTGTCATAACATTAGCACTACTACACAGCTCCCGATCCTCTCAATAAATTTGACGGTCAACTGGGGCGGCTACCACCATAGCTAGCACTGACATAAGTAACAAGGCCTACCTTGGCCTACCCCAGCCAATCACGTTTTTAAGTTACTTGTTTTTGTATTATGAAAATGTAACTCTGTCATCACATCTACTTGGTTTGTGAATAGGAGTCCTCGTTGCATCTAAAAATAACTCTTGTGTTTGAACAGTTTATA